TGGTGCCGAATAGAATTTCACTATGATAGGCACAAAGAAGCATTTTCACGCTCGGAGATCATTGTGGAATGCATCCAAATGCAATCCTTGGGATTCACGGATTGTATTTCACGATCTCCAACTCCAATTATTCGTCAAAAAAGAAAGACCCATTCCAGCATGTTTGTCACTGCCTTTCCAGCAATGCTGTACAGAATAATTGAACTGCTCCTACACACAGAGCGTCAGTTCCAGTTAGAACATAGAACATAGAATAGTACAGCACAGTACAGGCCCTTCGGCCCACGATGTTGTGCCGAACTTTTACCCTAAACCTAAGGTCTATCTAACCTCCACCCCTACCTTATACTATCATCCATATGCCTATCTAATAGCCGCTTAAATGCCCCTAATGAGGCCGACTCCACTACCCTCTCCGGCAATGCATTCCACACCCCTACCACTCTCTGAGTAAAGAACCTACCTCTGACGTCTCCCCGATATCTACCTCCTTTCACTTTAAAACTATGTCCCCTTGTAAAAGCTACCTCCACCCTAGGAAAAAGTCTCTGGTTGTCTATTCTACCTATATCTCTGATCATTTTGTACACCTCTACCAAGTCACCTCTCATCCTTCATCGTTCTAAAGAGAAAAGCCCTAGCTCTCTCAACCTTTCCTCGTAAGACCTTCCCTCCATTCCAGGCAACATCCTGGTAAATCTCCTCTGCACCTTTTCTAACTCTTCCACATCTTTCCTGTAATGAGGTGACCAGAACTGGACACAATACTCCAGATGTGGCCGAACCAGGCTTTTGTATAGCTGGAGCATAACTTCACGGGTCTTGAACTCAATCCCTCTATTAATGAAAGCTAACACACCATACGCCTTCTTAACAACTCGATCCATCTGGGTGGCAGCTCTCAGGGAACTGTGAACATGAACCCCAAGATCCCTCTGCTCCTCCACACTGCCAAGAATCTTTCCGTTAACCCTGTATTCTGCTTTCAAGTTTGTCCTTCCAAAATGAATCACCTGACACTTTTCAGGGTTAAACTCCATCTGCCACTTCTCAGCCCAGCTCTGCATTCTGTCAATGTCCCTTTGCAACCTAGAACAGCCCTCTGCACTGTCCACAATGTGACCCATCTTTGTATCGTCCGCGAACTTGCTAATCCACCCTTCCACTCCTTCATCCAAATCATTTACAAAAATCACAAATAGAAGAGGACCCAGAACAGATCCTTGTGGTACACCACTCGCAACTGAGCACCATGTTGAATATTTTCCATTCACTACCACCCTTTGTCTTCTAAGGGTCAGCCAATCCTGAATCCAATCTGCCACATTTCCCCCTATCCCATGCCTCCTTACCTTCTGCATGAGCCTACCATGGGGAACCTTATCAAACACCTTACTTAAATCCATGTATACCACATCCACTGCTCCACCTTCATCCACGTGTTTGGTCACCTCTTCAAAGAACTCAGTAAGGTTTGTGAGGCATGATCTAGCCCTCACAAATCCATGTTGACTGTCACGAATCAAACTGTGCCTTTCCAAGTGATCGTACATCCTGTCTGTCAGAGCCCTTTCCAATAATTTGCCCACCATTGACGTAAGACTAACTGGCCTGTAATTTCCGGGGTTATCCCTGTTCCCTTTTTTGAACAAGGGAATGACGTTTGCCTCTTTCCAATCTTCTGGCACTATATCCATGGACAGTGAGGACGAAAAGATCATCGCCAAAGGCCCTGCGATCTCGTCCCTTGCTTCCCATAGAATCCTTGGATAAATCCCTTCAGGCCCGGGGGACTTGTCTATCTTCAACTTCCTCAGAATTCCTAGCACATCCTTTTTACTAACATCGACCTCCTCTAGCCTACCTGCCTGTTTCACAACGTCCTCCTCTACAACTAGGTCCGTCTCAGTTGTGAATACCGAAGAAGAGTATTCATTAAGGACCTCTCCTATTTCTTTAGGCTCTGTGCACAAATTCCCTTTACAATTCTTGATCGGCCCTACTCTTTCTCTGGTCATTCTCTTGTACTGCACATACGTGTAAAAAGCCTTGGAGTTTTCCTTGATCCTATCCGCCAAGGTTTTCTCATGCCCCCTTATAGCTCTCCTAAGCCCTTTCTTCAGCACCTTCCTGGCTAACTTGTATCCCTCTAGAGCCTTTTCCGTTCCTCTTTTCCTAAACCTTACATAAGCCTCCTTCTTCCTCTTAACCAGTCGTTCGACCTTTCTCGAGGACCATGGCTCCCTCACTCGAAGGCATCTTCTCTGCCTGCTAGGGACAAACATATTGAGCGCATGCAGTATGCATTCCTTAAACAATCTCCACATTTCTGTGGTGCTCTTCCCTGACAGCATCTGTTCCCAATTTATGTTACCCAGTTCTTGCCTAACGAATTGTAATTACCCTTCCCCCAAATGTAAACTTTACCCTGCCGTATGTACCTATCCTTATCCATGACTATCGTGAAAGAAACAGAGTTATGATCGCTACCGCCAAAATGCTCTCCTACCAACAGGTCTAACACTTGGCCCGGTTCGTTGCCAAGCACCAAATCCAAAGTGGCCTCTCCTCGTGTTGGTCTATCTGCATACTGTGTCAGGAATCCTTCCTAAGCGCACTGGACAAAATCTGCTCCATCTAAATTATTACAACTAAAATGTTTCCAGTCAATACTTGGAAAGTTGAAGTCACCCATGACTAAAACCCTGTGACTTCTGCACGTTTCCAGTATCTGCCTCCCAATCCGGTCCTCTACTTCTCTGCAACTATTAGGGGGTCTGTAAAAAACCCCCAACAAAGTGACTGCTCCTTTCTTGTTCCTGACCTCAACCCAAACTGACTCTGTAGACATATCATTCTCGAACTGCCTTTCAGTAGCTGCTATACTCGCCCTGACTAGCAATGCCACTGCTCCACCTCTTTTTCCACCCTCCCTACTTCTTTTAAAGCATCTAAATCCTGGAACTTCCAACAACCATTCCCCTCCCTGAGTTACCCAAGTTTCTGTAATGGCCACAACATCGTAGTTCCAAGTACCGAAAGTTAGGATAGACACAGAATCACAGAAGTGTTACGGCACAGAAACAGACCATTCAGCCCATGCTTCGGCTCATGAAATGAGCATCCTGACCCAATGCCAATCTCCTGCTTTTTACCCCACATCCTCGCACTTATTTCTGTCTAAATAATCAACCTTCAATGCCTCAAGTGATGTAGTAGGTGGAATTCCAGCGAAACAGTCTTTAAAATCAAGAGGAAATACATTGTTGATATCTCATGGCATACGTAAGCAAGATTTTGACAAGAAGGGCAAGCTGTCTCATTTCTTTGAAATACGAATGTTTGATCATTTGTGCTACACTTGTGCAGTCAGTGTAGTTAGTTATCAGATTAAGCAAGGTGAGTGGGAATGGCATAATTTGGCCAGGGCATGAGCTAACAATCAACAACTTGTATTCCTCTAGTGCCTTTATTCATGAAACATCCAAAGGCACTTTACAGAAGTGTTACAATTCAAACTATGACTCTTGATGTAATTTGGCAAAATTGGGGTCGATTGGCTATCAGCTGTTTGTGATGCAGAGTGAGACCAAAGGCATGGATTCAATTCCCACACCAGCTGAGGTTACCATGAAGGACTTTCCTTCTCAACCTCCCCCTTTGCCTAATGTGTGAGATGGCCCTCAGGTTAAACCACCTGCAGTTGTCTCTCCATGATGAGGGAGTGCAGGACTATGGTGACTTTATCTTTTACAAATAAAATATTCAAATATTTCCACTGTCCTCTCAAGGGACATCCCTCAACAAACATCAGCAAATCCAGAGCATCTGGTAATTTAGTACTGTTTATGGGATCCTGTTGTCCATGCCTTGCCAGCTGCATTTGCCTGCAAAAACATGGCAGCAACATTACAACAGTGGCTAGATTTCATAAGTATGTTATTGGCTGTAAAAGACTTGGCTTGTTTTTTTTTGTTTTGAAGTGGATCATCTGCATCCAGGGAGCATAAATGTCAAATAATGCAATTATGGAAAGTGTTGGATGTATTTTGAAAGCTGCATTTGAATTTTCTTTTGGAAATCTGGGAATTGAAAAGCCCTGTAACAGTAAAGGTGACCTTGGAATTGCTAGGTTTTTACAAAAAACCTAGTTTTTTTCTCTGAAGATACAAAAGTTTTAAAACTCACACCAGTAGATTTAAGAACAGCTTCTTCCCTGCTGTAATCAAACTTATAAACAGACCTCTCATATATTAGAGTTGATCTTTCTCTGCACCTTCTGTAGTTTTATCACTATATTCTGGATTCTGTTCTATTATCCCAAAATATATATTCATTTGATTTGATTTATTATTGTCACATGTACTGAGACACAGTGAAAAGTAATATTTTGTGTGCTATCCAGACAAATCAAACCTTACACAAATTTTAAAACTGGCTGCAACATTTTCTGCATCAGAACAATTCATGGCCTGCAAAGTCATTTGTGTCCCAAACATCTCCCACTCTCTTTCCAAAGATGAGCAGGTTCAATGGATTGGCCTTGTGAAATGCAGGGTTACAAGGGATGGGCTAGTGGGGATGGGGCTGGGTTGGGTGCTCTTTCGAGGGTTTGTTCTGGTCTCGATGGGCTGAACGGCCTGTTTCCACAAAGTAAGAATTCTACGCTTCTGTGTTTCTATCTGCCAGAAGCGCTGAGAAATAAAGCTAAGTTGTTTATGGGCACTTGACAGGTTTTAATGCCTTTCTTTCGAAAAGGCAGAAGTCTTCAAAAAGTGGGCCAGACGCATTGTAACCGAGGGATAAGATTTGGATAGTGAGCTTTTCCTAAATAATGGGCATTTGTCTGGGTCAGTGGCTAGCCAGAGGTGGTGTATAGTACAGAAATCAGCAGTGAATAGCTGCAAAGGCTAAACCACTATTTATGCCTGTTGGTGTTTTACACGCACGGAAAGATGCTTCGAAAGTTTATCTAATTTGTTCTGCTTCGTCTCTTGTAGGCACTGCCTCTTATCTCTGTATGGTTTCCACTGGAATGTGGAACCCTAAGGGTCCTGATCTTAGCAACTGTACGTCACACTGGGTGAATCAAGTGGCTCAGAAGGTTTGTTCGTACGGTTGTGTTTTGTTTATAAGAGATTAAAAGCGAGCGCAGCGAATTCAGTTTGGAGAAATGCTCACTAAACGCGTCAGTTTCTTTTTTTCTCTTCAACGTATCCTCACCCATTCCGGCTCAGTGACTTTAAACTTGTGTCTCGCAGGTACGACAACCCCGAGGGATAACGTGCGTGCGTAGTCATTATGTATCCTCATCATCAGGGATTTAAGAAAGCAAAGTTTTCTTTTTCAAAGGATCAAATAGGCATTGTGGGCAATTATCCTCAGGAACCAGGTGGCCTTTGGCCTTCACGTTTGTGGAGATTTGAGCTTCCAGTCTGGTTACCCTTGACAACCAATTTGTGGCTTGGGAAGCAATAGACATATGAGTTTTCTTGGAGGCTTGCACAGTGAGGTAATTGGAAATGCGAAGAGTATTTTTGTAGCATCCCTGATTAACGTGTGGGAGAGCCTGTCGTACTCAAACAAAGATGACTGTAAATAGATTTGCTTCTCTTTATCAGTCTCTGGGTCATTTAGTTTTGAACTACTGCATTTGCACGGAGCAAAAAAAAGGGTGAGAAAACGTCCAAATTATTTATTCTGCCAATGAAACTCAGCCAGCCAGTTGCTGATGATGATCTTATCATACAAGATTCTTAACTTGTGTCAGATGCTGTTTTAATTGAGACACTAGTCTTAATTTAAATGGTGTGTGCGTCTGTTCATGTGGAGTAAGTGTAAAATTCAATACAACTTTATTAAGCATTTGGAAATCTGGCCTTGACAGCAGTGATCTCTAGGTTTTTAGTCTTTCTATTCATACAAAGGTCCAAGTTACAAAACAGCTGAGCTGGAAGGTGCTAAAGATACAGCAGCCTAACGATGCATGGAAGCTGACTTTAACAAGCGAAAACCTTACTTTCAAATTTTAGCCCTTCAGCTCATTTCAGATGCATGTTCCCAACATTCTTATGGACTCACAATGTGTTCATTGTCTCCAGCCACACTTGGGTGAAGAGCCACAGACCAGTTTCCCAAATTGTCGTCGTGTTAGACTGGTAACGTCATAAGGCCGTAAGGCAGAGGAGCAGAAGTAGGCTATTTCACAGTCTAGTCTCTCTATCATTCAATGAGATCATGGCTGATCTGATCCTCCTCAACTCTTCTGCTTTTTCACACTAATGCACAATTCCCTTATTGATTAAAAATCTGTCTTTCTCAGCCTTGAATATACAGCCTTAACAGCCTTCTGTGTTAAATAATTCCACAGATTTACTACTCTGAGAAAAGTCATTACTCTTCAGCTGTTTTAAAGGGGCAACCTCTTATTCTCAGATGATGCTGTCTGGTCCTAGACTCTCCCACAAGGGAAACAACCGTTCTGCACCTACTCTGTCAAGCCCCCTTAGAATCTTCCATTTTCAGTAAGGTCGTCTCTCATTCTTCTACATTGCAATGAGTACAGGCCTAACCTGCTTAACCTCTCCTCACACTGCAATCCCTCCATACCTGGTATCAACTGAGGAACCTTCTCTGGGCTGCCACTAATACCATTACGTCTTCAAAAACAAAATACTGTGGATGCTGGAAATCTAAAACAAACATGGAGAGTGCTGGAGATGCTCAGCAGCACTGGTAGCATCTGTGCAGAGAAAGCTATATCTGAAATGGAGAAGCAGAGCAAACATGTAAACACAATCTTGGAGCTGCCAAAAAACATAAGAAATAGGAGCAGGAGTAGGCTATCTGACCCATTGTGCCTGCCCCGCCATTCAATAAGATCATGGCTGATCTTTTTGAGACTCAGCTCCACTTACCTGCCCGCTCACCGTAACCCTTAATCCCTTCACTGTTAAAAACCTTTCTGTTTGCCTTATAAACATTCAATGAGGTAGCCTCAACTGCTTCACTGGGCAGGGAATTCCATAGATTCACACCCCTTTGGGTGAAGATGTTCCTCCTCAACTCAATCCTAAATCTGTTCCCCCTTATTTTGAGGCTATGCCCCCTAGTTACAGTTTCACCTGTCAGTAGAAACAACCTCCCTGCTTCTATCTTATCTATTCCCTTCATAATTGTATATGTTTCCATAAGATCCCCCTTCATTCTTCTAAATTTCATTGAGTATAGTCCCAGTCTACCCAGTCTCTCCTCACAAGCCAACCCCCTCAATTCCAGAATCAACCTAGTGAACCTCCTCTGCACCCCCTCCATTGCCAGTACATCCTTTCTCAAGTAAGGAGACAAAAACTGTACACAACCCTGACCTTGTGCCCTCCTGCAGAGCCCCTCAAAGCCATTGTGCGTCACTCAGATCTGTGTTTGCTGCCATCCAGTTAGATCACAGCATAGGGCCATGGTGAATGGGAGCTTCAGAGTGAGAACACAATTGTTTACTCTCAGACGATGGCGAGTCTTGGGCTCCTTCTTGAAAGTTGGCAGAGGCAGTGTCCTTGAATATTTTTAAGGCTGAGGTGGATAGATTCTGTATAAACAAGAGGGTGAAAAGTTATTGGCGGTAGTGGGGATGGGGAGGTGGAGCCAGGAATGTGGTGTGATCTTATTAACTGATGGCCTACTCCTAATTTGGCCGATCATTGCTCATGATTGAGAGACTGAGCGTGTGCAAATCCATGCTTACAGATCCGGAGTGGCGAAAATGCAGCCAACCTGGCAAACGAACTGGCCAAGCACACCAGGGGACCCATCTACGCAGGAGATGTGAGCTCCTCGATTAGACTGATGGAACAGCTGGTCGACATTTTGGATGCCCAGCTCCAGGAGCTACGACCCAGTGAGAAAGATACCGTGGGTCGAAGTTTTAACAAGGTAAGGTTAATGACACCGGAATAGCACAGGGCAGCAGTTTTGATCGTCTCTCTTCCATTTGTGGGTGGCAACAGATACCTGCTTTTCTGACGCACGCTCGAGACACTGTGGGGGAGGTAGGGACAGTCAGAAAGTTTCCGCTATCTTTTTTCCTTTACTAATCCTTTCTGTGTTGTTTCTTCCCTGTGTTGAACTCTTGTCTCCCATGGTTGGAAAAGCTCCAAAAAAGAGAGAGGACTTGTCGGGCATACATTAAGGTAGCTCCACTGCAATGTTGCTTTCGCCTTTTGTTGACCTTCCACAAGCAACACCCTTCGCCTCCCCTCAAGACTGTTCCTTTCTGCTTTGCGAATGTGTTGCATGAAGTCCCACTGCCTTGCAATGCCGCCCACCATTTCTCCCCACTTCCCCCCCCCGCCCCCACACCCCAAAGTACGAATACTGTTTCCTTCTCAACCTATGCAAGAACTGAGGTCCTCGGATGAGCTATCCTTCTGGCTCCTCTTGTCTGGTTGGCTGTGCTTCACACTGATGTTTTATGTGTTCTGGGTAAGGCTGTCTCAACTCACTGTGGCTTGGGAAAGCTCCGAGTGCCATTTCTACATCGCAGCTATTTTCTGTCTCAGTACTGAAAGCCAATTCCTTTTTGAAGTACATCCAACTTACACCAATCTGTGGGACACTAAGTATCAATGAGGGAGAAGTGCTGGCCTAATGGTGGTGTCGCTGTTTAGTTCAGAGACCAGGCAATGTTCTGGGGACCTGGGTTCAAATCCTGCCATGGTAGGTGGTGGAACTTGAATTCGCTAAGAATCTGGAATTGATGACCAGGAATACATTGTCAATTGTTGGGAAAAAAAAGCCGTGTTTAGGGAAGGAAACTGCCATCCTTATCCAGTCTGGCCTACATCTGATTCCAGACCCACAGCAATGTGGTTAACACTTAACTGCCCACTGGGCAATTAGGGATGGGCAATCAGTGTTGACCTAGCCCCCATCCTGTGAAAGAATTCTTAAAAAATAAGATCTTTTTTTAAAGCAGCCTATTATTTGGACATGGATCATGAATTGGAACAACGCATCAATTTTATTTTCATCATTCGTTCATGGGAGGGCGGCTATTCGGCCAGAATTTATTGCTCATCCCTAATTGCCCAGAGAGCAGTTGAGAGTCAGCCACATTGCTGTGGGTCTGGAGTCACGTGTAGACCAGAACAGATGAAGATGGGCATTTTCTTCTCTAAAAGATGCTCATGAACCAGATGGGATTTTCCTGACAATTAACAATGTTTTGATGGTTATCATTACAACTTTAATTCCAGGGTTTTATTCGATTCAAATTCCATCTGCTGTGGTGGGATTTGATACCAGGTCCTCAGAACATTAGCTAGGTCTCTGGATTAAACGTCTAGTGATAACACCACTAGGTCATTGCCTCCGCCCTTGTTAAGAAAATAACTGCTGCTTGAAACAGGCTTATAACTGCATCTTGCATGTATATACCGCATACATCGAGCAGTCATAAAGAGATTGCTTCATTAGTTTACATCATATCACTGTTGCTATGGAGCCAAGTGGGGCAGCCATTTTGGATCAACAAGGTCCATCAGTGACCCTTATACGACAAACCATTTATATACTTTTGGCAATGGCGGTAAAAGAAAAAAAAAACAAACAAATGCCCGCGATCATCTGTAAAATCTTGTCACTTGTTCCTTGTGATCTTTCAGCATCGACCAAACCTTTGGTTTAATATTTAATCCAAAACGTCTCGCATGTAGTTACAGCACTCGCTGATCCCCGTGTCACAGTCTGCGTCCAGACTGCCTGCTGATACTATTTCATTTCAGTGTTTGGCCAAAAGAAACCCTGCTGTGAAATGTGGCCCCTGTTAGATCATAAATGGACAGGTGTCTTCTCATTGCTGTAGTATAAGCTGATAGTTCACTGCTTTAATTTTAGGAGCTCAAACTGATCCATTAAAAATGGAAAGCTTTCCATGCATCTTACATGATGAGTTGCACAAAGGGAATATTCCTGCTCATATTGAAAGGCAGAGCATGTTGGAAGGGCTGAATGGCCAACTCCTACTCCTATTCTCAAAACTCATTGAAACTTGTTTAGTCTTAACCTAAGAACATAAGAAATAGGGGTACAAGTACAGTAAGGTCCCCCTTATCTGAGGAAGGAAGTGCTGGTGTTGATGGGGTCCAGAGGAGGTTTACAGGAATGATCCCAGGGATGAAGGGCTTGTCATATGAGAAGTGGCTGAGGACTCTAGGTCTGTGCTTACTGGAGTTTAGAAGGATGAGGGGGGATCTGATTGAAACTTACAGAATAATGAGAGGCCTGGATAGAGTGGACGTGGAGAAGATGTTTCCACTTGTAGGAGAGACTAGGACCTGAGGGCACAGCCTCAGAGTGAAGGGATGACCCTTTAGACCTGAAATGAAGAGAAATTTCTTCAGCCAGAGGGTGGTGAATCTGTAACTCATTGCCACAGAGAGCTGTGGAGGCCAAGTTATTGAGTGTATTTAAGACAGATTTTTGATTTTTGCTCAGGTTTTTGATTAGTGAGGGGATGAAGGGTTATGGGGATAAGGCAGGAGAATGGGGTTGAGAAACATATCAAGGAACAAAGAAAATTACAGCACAGGAACGGGCCCTTTGGCCCTCCAAGTCTGTGCGGATCCAGATCCTCTATCTAAACCTGTCACCTGTTTTCCAAGGATCTGTATCCCTCTGCTCCCTGCCCATTCATGTATCTGTCTAGATACATCTTAAATGACGCTATCATGCCCGCCTCTACCACCTCTGTTGGTAACGCGTTCCAGGCACCCACGACCCTCTGCGTAAAGAACTTTCCACGCTCATCTCCCTTAAACTTTTCCTCTCTCACCTTGAAGTCGTGACCCCTAGTAATTGAGTCCCCCACTCTGGGAAAAAGCTTCTTGCTACCCACCCTGTCTGTACCTCTCATGATTTTGTAGACCTCAATCAGGTCCCCCCTCAACCTCTGTCTTTCTAATGTAAATAATCCTAATCTACTCAACCTCTCTTCATAGCTAGCGCCCTCCATACCAGGCAACATCCTGGTGAACCTCCTCTGCACCGTCTCCAAAGCATCCACATCCTTTTGGTAATGTGGCGACTAGAACTGTACACACTATTCCAAATGTGGTCGAATCAAAGTCCTATACAACTGTAACAACTCTTGTACTCAATACCCCGTCCGATGAATGAAAGCATGCCGTATGCCTTCTTGACCACTATCGACCTGCGTTGCCACCTTCAGGGTACAGTGGACCTGAACACCCAGATCTCTCTGTGCATCAGTTTTCCCCAGGGCTTTTCCATTTACCACATAGTTCGCTCTTGAATTGGATCTTCCAAAATGCATCACCTTGCATTTGCCTGGATTGAACTCCATCTGCCATTTCTTCGCCCAACTCTCCAACCTATCTTTATTCTGCTGCATTCTCCGACAGTCGCCTTCACTATCTGCTACTCCAACAATCTGTGTTATCTGCAAACTTCCAAGTCAGACCATCTATACCTTCCTCCAGATCATTTATGTATATCATAAACAACAGTGGTCCCAACATGGATCCCTGTGGAACACCACTGGTCACAGTTCTCCATTTTGAGAAACTCCCTTCCACTACAACTCTCTGACTCCTGTTGCCCAGCCAGTTCTCTATCCATCTAGCTAGTACACCCTGGACCCCATGCAACTTCACTTTCTCCATCAGCCTATCATGGGGAACCTGATCAAACGCCTTACTGAAGTCCATGTATATGACATCTACAGCTCTTCCCTCATCTATCAACTTGGTCACTTCCTCAAAAAATTCTATCAAGTTGGTAAGACGTGACCTTCCCTGCACAAAACCATGCTGCCTATCATTAAAAAGCCCATTTTCTTCCAAATGTAAATAGATCCTATCCCTCAGTATCTTCTCTAGCAGCTTCCCCACCATGATAGGCCATGATCAAATGGTGGAGCAGCCTCAATGGGTCGAAAGGCCTAAATCTGCCCCTTTATCTTCTGCATTGAGCCCTGTACACCGTTCTCTCATTCTTCTAAAGTCCAGCGAATATAAAGCCAGTTTACTCAACATCAAGTTACTAGACAACCCTCTTATCCACAGAAACCATCCCGGTGAACCTTCACTGTACCCCCTCGGGTGCCTGTCCGTGTGGAGTTTGCACATTCTCCCCGTGTCTGTGTGGGTTTCCTCCGGGTGCTCCGGTTTCCTCCCACAGACCAAAGGTGTGCAGGTTAGGGTGGATTGACCATGCTCAATTGCCCATCGTGCTCAGGGATGTGTAGGTTAGGTGGATTAGCCATGGGAAATGCTGTGTTATACGGATTGGGTAGGCGGGAGGGGTGGGATTCTCTTTGGAGGGGTGGTGTAGACTCAGATGGGCCAAATGGCCTGCTTCCACACTGTAGCACTTCGATGATTTTGTGACCCAGCCAGTGACACCCATATCAGATGTAAAAAGAGGATGTGTGTCATAAACGTTAGTCATCATTAACATTGCTCTGCAAAAGCGGGTGAAGAAATAGCTGGATGTAATATCCTCACCGCATGTATTACGCTATTAAACTTTTGGCTTGTCAAATGAAAGTGAATAAACAGTCACGCTGAAGCATGGTATTTCATGTCGGGGATTCTTGGTTGTCAAGAGGAAATTCCCATGGTGAGGGGGAGTTAGTCTGACTGTCAGATCAGATACGAATATTTATCGGCTGGCTATTGGGCTTTTGCCCAATGCTGACTCCCAATAAAAACAGGCCAGCTGTCTTGTTGTCTGAAGTTGAACTGATGCCAATAATTTCAACCAGATGAATTAGGCCTGTGGCAGTTGTATCAATAATTGCATGGTGTCCCTGGGACTGTATATCTATATTTGTAAGGTGTCCCCAGACAGGAAGAAGTAAGTTCAGAAAACCGTAACTTGAAAGCGGATCATGAATCAGAAAAGATTTTGACATTCCACCACCCTCACCTCTCCTGCCTGACCTGTACAGTGGCTCAGTTATGGAATGTTCCAGAACAGAGAGAGAAAATTCTATTACCTTTCTGCCTGTCCCTCATAAATCACATTGTCAAGTGCTGCTGTTATTCTCATGCCTCAGCTTCTGTAATATTGTTTGATTTCCAACGATCACTATCCTTGTGAAAGAATTAAGAACATGCGTCACCGTGGCAACTGAGCTGATCCCACCCTAAACCTGAACCATCATGGC